TTCCTTTCTTGGGTTGAAAGAGAAATGAAATATATATTTTTGGCTTGCTCCGTGTCTTCCAGTGGCTCATTCAATCTTCCTGCTGCCGTGGGAGGAGTCACGTATTACAGTTGGGTTAAATTATTTGCCCAAGGTTAGAACTAATCAATGGCAGAGCTGGGATTTGGGTTGGCATCTGACTCCAAAGCCCAGGTCCCTCCCATAATACCACTTCAAAGAGACTGCATTTATTCATAAAGCTTAGGCTCGCCATCAGAGTCGGACATCTGAGGTTAGGTCAATCTCTCCTACTCCCTCTGCTTCTCTGCCAGTTTCTCTGAAGGCTATAGTAGGAAGATTCCTGGACTTAAAATTAGAAAGCTGTGTGACCATGTTATAATTCACTGAAGACTTCTCAAAGCCAAGTTTACTCATCTGTGGAGTGGGGACAATGATTACACCCCCGCTCTCTTCAGGGCAATAAGGGTAGTGGCCGGGAGGGATTGGCATCAAACTCCGATGAGGTCCTATTTGTTGAAAATGCTTTGGAAAATTTATGAGCTTTAATCACATCCAATGAATTATTATTTTTCTTTTATTTATTACTGTGATCTCAAGATGTTGTAATAGAATCCTCCTTCTTTGGTTTTCAGCAATTGGGTCACTTTTTAAGGAAAATATGGATGTTCTTTTCAGAAGGGAAAGATAAATGGTTTTGACTTCGACATTTTCCAAGGCTGAGCACTGACTCCATGAGCCTCCGTTACTCTTGACACTTAATACAATCTGCAAAGAATCGATTGTTCATTTCTGCCTTCCCGCTAAGCCTCAGGTGAGGTCGCCTGTTATAGTCAGAGCTGTGTTTCCAGCACTTACCATAGGGTTAGGGTAGATCAATAGGAATTTGGGGAATCTTAATTTTGTGAGGTTACTTAGGCAGTTTCTCAAAGATTGCCGCAGTCTTGGCTGCGCACAAGATCACGAGCCACTCACAGCTTTGTAGATTCAAACAGCAATTCTTTATTCCCGAACTCACACCGGCCTCTACACACGTTCTGGGGAAATTCGCATTCTCCCGCACAATTCACGTCCCAAATCTTTCTCAGTTCCCACGAGAACTCAGTGGGAACTCAGGCAGCAGGAACGCCCTACTCCCAGCAGCAATAAACTTAAACTTCCCTAAAACCCATATTGTCTTAAACCGGGAACGCCCTAAACTTGTCTTAAACCAGGAAGCCTTAAACCCAAGGACGGGATACTCCCTAAAACCTGATCAGCTCTAAACCCGGATCCACCCTGGTCCTTGAGCAAGGTCACCTTACTAAAGCATACATGCAATGTCCCAGCGAATGTCCTCTAAGCCACATGGAGTACGCTGGCAAGGAAATTTCGATGCATCAATCCTACTTGGCAATGGCCCTCAGCAAAAGATAAAGAAGTAAATTTTTCTTAGCAGTTATTTACCTGCTACTGGGGTTATAACTTTGGAATTGAAGGGCATTGAGGATCCTGTCAAAGGTGAAGGTGTTCTCATGAGGCTAAACCTACTCAGAGGTGAGGGAGAAAGGACTAATGCTGGAGGAGTAAGCAGAGGACCTGTTGGATAAAATTGATGATAACTGATTGACATTTTAGTGCCTCCCTAAAACATGAATTATTGTATTTACACAGACACAAAGTGATGCATATATAGGCCTATCTGAGTAGGCTCATGTGCATGGACACATGAGACACTTAAGTCTGAAGAGCATTCTTTGGGAAGATGGACAACTTTGGAAAGTCAGCTATTAGCAGAAACAGTAGCCATCACTTGGGCACTTCCTGTCACTTGCCACTGTACCACCTCATGGCTTTCCAATCCTCTGCCTCTGCCTCTAAGGTTTCTTAAAGAAATTAATATGTAGAGATTTCCTTTCTTTCCTCCTTCCTTCCCTCCCCCGTCTCTCTTTCTTTTTCCTAATAATGAATGGATGCAAACCAAATTCAGCTGGTACCTAGAATCCAGGAACATATTCTTGGACTGGACTACCTGGAAACAAGAAATTTGAAACAAGTTCCTCCCAGCATGATGCCCTAACCACTAATGTAATTTTGGGTGGTACACATATGCAAGACAAGGAGTAATGGGCTGAGTCTCAAAAGGAAAATGGAAACATTCAAGAGACACAGAAGGGAAAATCTTTCTGACTGTGTGCTCAATCCAGCAATGGAATAAATTACTTGGGGAAACATTTATGGCTCCCTAAATAGAGGTGTTCAGGAGGAAAGTGAGATGGAACACATGCTCTTGCTGTCATCGTTAAGCAGAGTTTATTCAGTGTGGACAGGGTTGGAGGTAGTGTTCCAAAGGCAAAAACACCCCCATTCATGTGGAAAGGTGTAAGAAAGAGCTGCATTTTGGTAACTTTGGGCTGTGGTGGAATTCTTGACTCCAGAAGAGCCTGTAGTTGGTTAGCCACAATGACTCCATGGCCCCTTTACAAACTTAGAGATGCATTCTGCTTGGAAAACCGTGTCTCAGTCGTGTTACAAATACAGAGACATCAATTATTGCTGTGATCACTAAGATGTTTAGAATTCTACATGTTGTCTTATTTGTTACCATATTTTAACTAATTACCAATCAGTCACATATCTTGCTTCTTGGGTATTTGACAGAGAACATTGTGATTAGAAATGGCAACTAAGTCATGAGGTGTATTGTCTAATTTGAATAGAAACATGATGGGTAACAGAAATGGTTTGAAAAATGGGTTGGGAAAGTATACATGAGACATAGAGAAAGGTAAGAAAAGTCTAGAAAGGATTTTATCCTTATCCAGAATCTTATAGTATATTAGAAGGAAAAATTGGTTGATCAATTTTATTCCATAAAAAACTGCTCTTTCTTAGAATCCCTTCAGGGATAGAAAACAGAAACATATTTAAATTATTTCATTGTTTCACAGAAAAGCCATCGTCCTGATTCCATTTTTTTGTTATCTTCACTATCTATGTGAAGCTGAAGTTCTCTGAAGAAGCTGACTCTATATTGAACATCCTGCAGACTGTTTGATCTTGGTTGAGGAGGAGAATATCATGATTGTGAAGAGATAGAATCTATACTTCAAGGGCCAGAATTACCCTGGGCTATCTTAGTACCTTTAATTGCCATCCACTTTCAACCTTTGAATCTGACCTAACCTCCTCGTTACTATTTAGTAAATCTCTGGAATGCATCCTTAATCTCAGCAGCCCTCCAGTCTCTACCAACCCTACAGCAAAGAATGCTATAACATGACATTAGAAACTCAGGGAAAAGATTTCCCCCTTTTGCTGAAATCTTGTCCTATCTAATGCTCCCACCAATGTATTTGGTTAACATATTCTATATGGGCTTGCTTGTTCTGTGGCTATACAGATATATGTAACCTCTTTCATGGAACAACATATCATTTAGGGCAACATGAATCCATGTTACTGGGCCATGTCACTCATACTTGGCTCAGAATATTTTCTTATTCCCTTATAGCAGAATTGTTCTTTTATATTGACACTGACAGACAACCAGGTAAAGAATTTGGGGGATATTATTATTAACTCTGATTTTCTAGGGTCTGACTAGCCAACGTGCATTGACCCACAAAATGAAACAGCACTTATCATCAGAAAAAAAAAAAAAAAGAAAAATATTTTCCTCCCTCCATTTCTGGACTTCTGGCTACAACTGAATATTCTTCCCCCTTCTAGATGAAATAGATGAAACTTCCCCAAGGGCCTAGGATATTTCCCCTTTTCCTCTTTCTCCTTTCTTCTGCCCCTTCCATGTTTACAAAAATATTGGGACTCTTAGAAAATAAAAGGACCGATACTAACTCATTGAATCTGGCATCATCCCATTTGTGATATGCTCCTACAGAATTGGACATGGAAGCACCTGTATAAAAGTGTGCATTGAAAATTGTAGGATTTCACATTTACTACAGGTGAGACTATCATAGAATCAGTGATCTTTGGAAGAATGCTTGCTAGAATCTAAGAATTACTAATTACCTTCCTTCCAGGGCATTTTGCCAGCTTACAGAAGTCAGA